GAGGAGGGAGGGGGGAAAAAAGCCGGATTGGGGGGGGGGGGGGCTACGTACTGCCTGTCCTTCCTTTATAGGTAGCCCTGTGAGTGTCACACTATCCAGGAGAAGCGTGGCTATGATGGCCTGGGCTCACACAAAGTGGGCTGAAAGATGCTTGGCATTAAGGACCTTTTCCTGTGCTACCACATATACTGTATGTGTCATTGTTTTGTGTAAGGAGTTTGCCCCCAGAACTATGACAGAACTGTTGCTGGCAGCATCCATTCATAGACTGACAGTCGGGAGCCAGGGTCCCGGTCATTTGATCACTGGGAGATCACATGATAGTTTTATAGACACATTTTCAAACAGAAATTTTATTAGATTTTAGACATGACGCACATAGACCAAAATAATTTTACATTTTAAGTACATATTTCTAAAAGCCAAAATATGTCCAAAAATAATTTTAGGAACAACACATTGAAGTGACACTGAACTTAGGAGCTAAATCCTAAAAATACATTTAAGTACCTTACTATTAACAAAAATGTATCTTATTTGTGTATCACTCAGCTGTAAATCCTCAAATCATCTCTGAAGTGGTGCCAACACTGTCCTTCCTTCTGGAGGGTGGCTACTTTTCTTCCCCATGGTCCCTTTGTGTGTTGTAAAGTAGCCACCACTCCAAGCTCGCTCCCATGATGGACTACAATCTCATATTTAGTTTACTAATTTGTTTTGAGATTGTAGTCCATCACGGGAGTGAGCTTGGAGCGGTGACTACTTTACAACACAAACAGGGACCAGGGGGAACAAAAGTAGCCCCCCTCCAGAAAGAAGGACAGTGTCAGCACCAATTCAGAGATGATTTGAGGATCTACAGCCGAGTGAGTAAGATACATTTCTGTTAATAATTAAGGTGCTTGAATGTATTTTTAAGATTTTCAGTGTCACTTTTAAGCATTAGTCTACAATTAGAAAACTGTAAATGTGCCAAACTAATCTCTATCCAATTAAAAAAATAATTTACTATTTATCTAATTAGTCTGAGTGTAAAACTGTTCATATAGGCTATTACAGAACATTTACATTATTCTTATCTGTTTCCATTAGTATATATAACCTGGACATAAAATACAAACATTCTACTTATAACTAACAGTACGTAAAGTGCTTAAAAGTGGCAAACATGACAAATATTTAGTATATACATCAAGAAGTCCCATGACAAGTGAGCATTTGTACAGTGTATCAGACCAACAAATGTATTAGACCAACAAATAATTGTCTAAATAAACATAATACCTAATTTCTAAAGCTTAATGAAGTGTACAGAGCCAGCATTGTACCATTCACTGTGCAAGGATGTGATACAATATCATGCTTGATGTGTAAGTCTTAACCTAAGCACATGGGATTGTGCAAATATAACACACTAAATATGCTTTGCTCCTATAGATTCTTGGCTTTGTGCAGATATAACACACTACATAGATTTTTACCTTTAAAATGCCTTACCATATATATATTGCTTTATTTGTCTTTTAAATTATGTTTAATGGCGCAACGTTCATGTAAGAATAAGCTCGTTATCACAATTTTAATACTGAAAGGTGGTAAGATAATCTACCTCATATATATTATTCATCATGGGCCTGGTTTTATTATGTCTATATAAATTGTACCCAATGTTCACGTTTTGCTGGAAGCCATGCTATATTCAGGCGCTTCAGGATCAAATAGAAGGAAAAGCCAGTAGTCCACACCATCTGTTTGTGTAATTTAACTCTGTCCTGTCCAACTCTGGGCTTACCCCCTGCCCACCCTCCTCCTTGGAGGCTCCTCTGCTGTATTTTTTTATACCTTTTCTTTAGGGATGCACCGATACCAAGTGCCGAGCTCGTTACAAGTACAAGTGCAGATACTTTTCCAGCTCCAAGACTAGAGAAAAATTCAAAAGTTAGGAGGCAGCTGTCATTTTTAAGGCGCAGACGGAGCTCCTGGGATTTGTGCGACCCCATGTTAATGCTTTTTTTTTTTTTTAATATAAAAAGGGATGCACAGATACTATTTTTCCAAGTACAAGTACTGATACTTGTCCAAGTACTCTCAGACAGTTTTTCTAAAACAATACAGACTAATGATTTCAGGACAGTGGTGGAGCGCTAGGGGCCCAGTCCCAGCTGCAACCCTGATAGTTCTCGTGAAAATGTCAAGTATCGGTACTGGAATCTGAACTGGTATCTGGACATCCCTACTTTTCTTATATATCATTAGGTCCGTCATATGGTGCACATGGTCCTCTTCCTCTGTGCATCCCGTCGGTGGGCGGTCATTAATTATGCAAATACAATTCGTATTCTGGTCAGCTTTGTGAGGCATACTTACAGTATGTCCTCAGTTTTCTAAGTTGAATGACACTGAAAATACACCTTGAATAACTGATGCCATACAACTTGTGTGGATTGTTGGCCTTTTATTCTTTTTGACTAATGGCTATGTCTATAACTTTACGGGGTCTATTAATAAACAATTTGCAGAGCCATTCATCCTGTGGATCTCTGTGAATGCTCATTTTGTGTTAATGGAAGCAAAAACGAGCATCCTTTGTATATTTTCTTTTCAGTTCAAATGTATTATTTGGAAGATACTGCATTATGGCCACTAGATCGAGATGAGGAGCATAGAAAATAAATACTTATTTGTGCTATTTTTGCTTTAGCTCCATCTAGTGGCCATAATCTTGTATTTTCCAAACGTAACATTTGACCTGAAAAAGAAAAGAATGTTTGCTTTTGCCTCTATTTGCTCAGAATGAATGATCACAGAGATTCACAGATTGGTTCCACGAAATGTTTATAAATAGACCGTTTAGGCCAGGAAGTGGGAAAAAAATAGCTGTAATTAAAAGCAAAATAGGCTTGTTATAATAATAAATATAAGATTTGTTCATATCAGCATGTAGAGCTGCATGCTGATGTATTTTTAGTGAAAAGGGGTAAATGTCCCCTTTAGGCCTCTTTTTCTTGTTCCTGGAGGCTGAATGGAGTGGAAGGGGAGTAGAGGAAAGCTGAGCATGTGCTTCTGGGGAGGGGGACATTAAAGCAATCAGTTTCTTGATAGACAAAGCATAGCTTTGCTTTAAGCAGCCAATAACACTTTTTGAATGATTATTTAAGCAATATTATTGCTGAACAGCAAAGGTTTCTAAATAGTAAATTACATTTGATTTTATACATTAATACACATTTTATTCGACCACTAATTTCTAAAATATTGAAGCTTACTAGATCTAGCTTTTTTACTTTATTTCACCTGGTGATACAGCTAGTGGCACACTTCCTGTCCTAGGGTGACCTTGCTCACTGATTGTACTGTATTTAACAAAATGCTTTCAACAGTATATTGAACAGACCCAAAGGGAGGAAATAAAAGAAGTTCATTGATAACTTTATCAGACACTTTAAACCAATAGTTCAAAGGAAAGTGAGAATGTAATTAGTTGTTTTGTTGTGGGTTACATAGCGTTATTGGTTGCTAGGACTCAGACGGCCCTTGGTTCAGTTCGCTTGGTTTTTTGCTGTACCCACATATCTGGCTGGGGAACTTGCAAGCAAAATCAAACCTAAGCATGTTTGGCTCATCACTAAAAATTACATAGGTGAGGTAGGCTGCCCATGCACTAAGGCTGGACTCTCTGTGTTTCTAAGTAGCTCCGGGACCCCCTGGAACTCCTGTTTAGTCTGAAAGTAGAACCATTAGAACCATTAAGGCATCAACCATTAAAGGGACTTCTTCTGATAGGGTGACAACATTCTTCCTTCTGCAGTAATCACTGCAGTGTTGTCACCATTCCTGCTGCTGTAGCGGCTTTTTTCATGTTGGCATGGTTGATAGTGCTATCAGTGATTAGCAATGCTTAGCTCCACTCGCAGCTATTTAGACTGACAGCACATTGACCTGTAGGGAAAGTATGCAAATGCCCTGCCAAGTCACTTTTATCCCCTCCAGCACTGTTGAGTGGTGTACAGGGGCAACTTAACTTTCCAGCTGCATTTACCATTAAAAATATTTAAAAAATCAAAAATGAAATGTCATCTTTCCATGCAGATAATACACAGGATTCTCTACAAGCCACTATCAACAGCAATCGCCTAGCCGCCACATCTCCTTTCATGCAAAGATACGGCATATGTTGCTATTTTCTACTGTGAGCACAGAAAGCATGACATTAAGATGGCTATATTCACAGCACCATGGGTTCAATTCCCTTTTCAATTGTGGATTGGGATGTGAGCGTTTGTGCTTTTCATTTTCTTATGGTCAGGTCCCCATGAAAACTGTCCCATTATTGTATATAAAAGTAAGTCCCTTAGTCACTGAAACTGTCTATAAAAATATTTAAGAACCAAAAAAATGTAATTTTCATTTCAGTATTCCAATACAAATAAGCCTGAGTCAGTGTTCAAGTATTCATTGAATGTTCTGTAAAAAAAAGTTCCTTCTCATTTTTCCATTTTCTCCTTCAGTGGTCTTTTGAAAAAGCCGAGCTGTAAAGCAAAAATAAAAATAAAATAAGAAACATTTTTTGTCATTCCTAAAACTGAATTTAAGCTACAGGTTTAAAAGATCCAAAATTGATATTCCAGTACAGGTTATGTGTCAGCAAGTTGCAGTGCATTCTACTTTTATCTCCCAAGAGCTTTTGTCCAGGTTTTTTGGCTATTTGAGGTTGACAGACTTATCTTAGAGAATGCTTTATCCCTGCCTACATAGAATTAAATAGGAGGAGCTTGCAAAGGTTAAAATGGAATAATATAATATATGGAATAAGTCTTTACAATAAGTCATGTGATGTGCAGGGTCCTCACCCACTTTAAGTGGGTGGTCCTCAATGATCCTGAGGGTGGTGCTAACATGAATTCAACGCATCTCTCTGTATTGTTCTATGCGAGTGCAGGGGGCTATGTTGAGGTGGCGGTTCCATGACACTGCAATCTCAGGATAGCCCCAGTTTTCCAGGTTGAATGATACTGGATATGACTAGCATACTGAGGACTAATGGTGGAAAGGAATTATTGCATGGGGTAACTCTGGAGAAACTCTGGAGAGAAAATTAGTATTGCAGTCAGATCTTTTTTTTTTTTTTTAAACCCCTCCTCTGGGAATTAAAAGTAAATGCCGGCAGTTGTGCAGATGCTGATGTAAGGGGGGACTCAGTTTCCAGATTCTCCTCTTTCATCACAGCCACCAGATTTCTCCCTTACATCAAGGTTCCCAGAGACTACCTTTACATCCGAGTCCTAAGGACATGGATGTAATGGGGTACTCTGATGGAAGGGGGAATTCTAACCTTGGGTTGAAGGAGGAGGCAGGCCTGGTGACGGAGGAGGCGGGGCCTGGTGACGGAGGAGACGTCGGGGTCCACCAGGGATCGAGGAGGAGGTGGACAGCGGATCAGGGCTGACTGTTAAGTTGTGTCACTAGCCCACCTGAGACCCTGCAGAGCCCACCATAGAGAGTCTATGGTGGGCTCTGCAGGGTCACTCAGGTGGGCTGTGTGAGATCTCAAGTGGGCTCTGCAAGGGGTGTAACTAGAAATCACAGGGCCGCATACAAAATTTTGCAATGGGGCCCTGTGATTTCTACGCCCCTGGTCACTGCTAGAAAACCTGTCCTGAGAAATGCCATGCAGCCAACATTGAAGGGTATGCATGGAGACAGGAAGTGGCTGCAAAGAGGTTGCAGAACATTAGGAACTCTGAATGCAGCAAAAGATATAAAAAGGTGAACAGAAGTATTATATTTTAAAAAGCCAGAATATGGACATACGTACCTTCCACATTGCAAAAATGATGAGCGCTAAAATAAGTAATCCTATAATGATGCTTAATGGAATGACCCAGATTGGCACCTCCCCGTGCTCCAACTCTTTTGACAGCTTAATCATTGTCTAGAAATGGGAAAAAAATAAGGATGGTAAAAATAAAGCTCGTTATTTGCCAACCGTTCACACAGTGATATTGTGACTGTAAGCAAAAGAATCAGAGAACATTTGTTTTAAAGAAAATAACACTTTATGAAAGACTAGGGCTGGCCACAATGGGAATTGAACGTTTCGGGAGGACAGTTTCTCCAAGACATCTACAGTAAAGTGCACAATGATTTGACAGAGAATTTCCATTCATAATTTCTAAGAAGGACTTACCTCATAATTTTCACTGTCACTTCTTAAGACGAGTACATCGTTCTCACTTTTCAGTGCAGCGTTTAAGACTAGATTCAGGTTGTGGATACTGGCCTGTAGAATATACGAAGGCGATTTAGAATATCCTGTCATTGTGATGTCCTGATTCCACATTGTATGTTGCTTGTATGTGTTTTTGAATATCTTTTTTGTGCACTTCCCATACTTGTAAAGCCATTGAGGACCCATAAGCACTTTTGCATTGCAGTAATGCATGTTGCAGATGACCAACTGTGGGCTGTGTTGTGATTTTATTCATTTTGAGTTCTCATTCTCAGTTCTTTTCATACATTTAAGTTACCAAGTCATGGTCACCTGACCTGTGCTAGAGAGCAAAGGGCTTATGTGACTCAATTAGAGCTTGTGTAGATGAATATGTGACTCAATTAGGACTTGTGTAGATGAAGTGCTTCTAAGTTCCATCTGAGATCCTTCAAAGATGGTTCTCACCTTTAGTTCCTCTCCTTCTGACCTGCATTTGACTTCCTCCTTAGTGCAAACCACTTGTTTTAAATAATTTTGTATTGCCCTTGATTTGTATGGGAACAACTGCACTTCTGACTTGAGTTATAGCTTTTACACACAAGCTTAGGGCCATTTCTTAATGAGGCAGCCTGAGACTAATGTCTTAGGCGGCATCTCTTTGGGTCACGTGGGGGGGGGGGTAGGGTCCCTTTCCAGCCAGAGCAACCCCGGTTGCTAAGAGCCAGGCAGGGAGATGCGCAAGGGCCACACACACCTCCCTGCCCAGCTCTTAGCAACCTGGAACGCTCTGGCCAGTGTCCCACCCAGGTGTGACATCACTGGTTTCCAGGAGCTGGGCAGGACACAATCAAGAGCATTCCTAGTTGCTAAGAGCCGAGTTCTGTAAGCTCTGCAGATGTGTAAATGCCGAGTTTGCAGAGGGTTGCATGCGCTCCCCCCGCCCCCAAAGCCCGCTACCACATCAGGCAAAAAGGCTAGGGAGGCAACTGACACAAGGCAAATTTATGACATCTCCTCCTAACATTTTTGAGAGTGGCTATAGATAGGCAGATAATATACTTTAAAGAGAATAGAGTTCCACCTGAAAATGTCCCAGTCGTACAGTGATCATGTTAAGTCCATGGGCAGTTTCAGTATTCTCTAAGTCAAGCAAAGACAAGGGTAGAACTACCTTAATGAAAGTTGCTTTCCATATTCTTAATGATACGTTGATGTGTGTGGTGTCTGATGGCTCAATGGTGCAGTTAAATGAGGAGCACTTCATTCTCTTGCAGTCCTATATTATAATAAAGCATTGTACATGTCACAAGAAAAAATATACATCATATGAAATAAAGGTCAATCAATGAGAGCTTAGCATTTAAGGCTTAAAGTAGTTTTACACTCAGATTTTGAGAATTACACATTCTGATGAGCCAAATTAACCTTCCACAATAAATAATGTAGTTATATGTTTGACCAATGACTCACTGCTTATTTATCACGAAGCTGCTTTCCTATTATGAAGATGCATTCCTACATTACAGACAGTGAGAGATCATGAATCAGGTACTAGTGAATTGTAGTTCACACATCAGGATGCCAAACATTTCACTTTGTACATTTTTGTTTTGTGGTAGTTATGTTCTTAGTTACAGGGTTACGCAGTGTGGTTGAAAAAAGACACAAGCCAATAAGAAACAAAAATACAGCCTTACCATTATTGTATCTTTTATATTTTCTTCAAATTTCTGCAGCACATATTCTGTTCCTGAATTTATTTTCAATGGATCCAAAAGCTGATCAGCGCTGCAAATCACATTCTAGAATAAAGTACATAGCATTGTTTTAGGTCACCCCACATTATTAATGTATAACTTGCATATTCTATATGACACAGATGTTAACTCTAAAGAAAATCTTTAATACCTTTAATTAATTGTGTGCAAGCAAAAAAAAAGAAGAAATGGACTGTGTTAGACAGGAATATTTAGAAAAGACAACAACTATGGTGACAGTGACACCTTTTAGTGGCTAACTAAAATGATTAAAATTATACAATTTTTTCCTATCCTAAAGCTCTTTCATCAGGTAATATATTTTATGAAATTATAATTTTAAAGAACACCTGTGCTTTGCCTATGTTGGGCAAATAAAGAGGTTTGCTTTAATACTCCTTTCTCAGCAGCAGATAATTACCTTTTCTCTCATTCCCCCGCTGATCTGTTCTGCCGCCAGGAGTTATACCAAGATGCAGCAGCTGTGATCTTGGTACCATTTTAAACAGATGGCAAGGGCTGTTCACATAACTCCGTTGCCAGCTATCCTGGGCTCTGCTGTCTCCCGTGCACACCAGGGACCTGGTCTCTGTTCATTAATCGGACCAGAAGCTGATCTCCCCTCCGACCACTGAACCTGGAAGCGACTTGTATTACATTTCTGGTTTCAGGCTGTCATTTCTTCAGCTGCTGTAGCCGGAGAAGAAGCTGATGAAGCAGATTTCTGCTTCATCAGCTTCTTTGGGGTCCCTAGGTGACATTAGGGGGTCAATTAGACCCATGATGTCTCCACAAAGAGGACCTATCACATCCTCTTTAATTGTTAGCCCCAATGTGAAAGTAATAAAGTTAAGTGTAAAAAAAAAAGTTTTAAAACTTAAAGTCACATATAAAAAAAATGCTTAAAGTCCCCTGCATCTACGTACACGAACATGCAAATCCATACAAGTGTCAGCAGTGCCTATGTGCGAAAACAAGGATTGCACCACACATGTTACATATCACTGACATGTTGGCATGAGAACAATAATTCTAGGCTATCAATCAGTGCTAACACTAAAATGATGAGCAGTAAAAGCTTTTAAAGTGTCACTATTACCATTGTTACGGGCAGATGCAATTTTAAGGCTTATCATGTTTGGTATCTATTTATCCAACGTGATCCCATCTTTTATATTTTGCCAACAATTGGGTATTATATTCTGTTTGTGATAATACCATTTTATTTTAGTGTATTTTATCCTAAAAATGTTGGTTTGATAAACATTTGTGCAAATATGATGCAACATAAAAAAATTACAACTAGAATTTTTTTTATTCTATAATTCTATAGTGCCTCAGAAAATAGATAATTGATTGGGGTTTTAAGCTGTTTTCATGTGTGTGCAAAAATTAAGAAATTGCACTGAACAACAAGTATTTAAGTAACACAAATCTTTCTTAAACAGGTACATATAAAATACCGCACATAAATATATTATTTAACATGCAGACTGCAGGTGGCGCTCCATGCAAGGTCAAAACACTAGCATAGATACTGAGTTCTTAAATTGTAAGTACCCCCTAACAATGAATGCCTTTTTTTGCTCCCATTTGCTGTCATATGGAATATTATTATGAAATGATAATATTAATATATAATATTGATTAAACGTTAAATATAACCCTATAAAAAGTGTTTTGTTATATCTGTTTGCTAAGTGCAAAAATCTATTGATCCTCCAAGTCTTGTGAAGCAATAACTTTCTGTACTTTCTGCCTGTGCTGGCTGTTATTAGTTATATTGCTCCCCGCTATCTCAGTGGACTACAGAACATCCATCCATGTTATGGAGAAGAGGAGAGAGAAGGATGTGTTCTGTAGCCCTGTCCTAGGAGGACAACACAGCTCCTCCACAGAGACATAAATAAATAAATAAATAAAAGACAAAAAAAATTAAAAAAATAAAACTAATGCTACTGGTTGCAATATATTACATTTTTGTTGTAGGGTTTAGAAACACTTCAACTAATTCAATCTCCTAAAAAGCACAAAGGCATCCCTGTGCATTCTCATTAGAAGGCCCAGCATGCTTTTTAAATGATGGTCTATTAATAAATGAATCTGTAATACATGTTTATTTGTAATACAAAATTATATAATGACATCCATGACAACATCCTACAAAAATAGATAAATAAATGTGACCTAACACCATTATCATTTTCCCTTACTGGTTTCACAGAACACGCATTGCTACGGAAGTCATGGCAGAATAAACTAAACAGTAATGAGAGTAAACGTACATCAGAGAATGACATATTGCTCAGATAAAGGAGAATGTTGCCATCTGGAGTTGTATACGGGAATGAAAGATGAAATGTAACCCTTGGCATAGGGATGTAGTCATCCTTCTTAATCTGAAATCAAAAACATGACATTTAAAACAGAACTTTAATTGCAATACCGGTAATTAAAATAGTTGTGAGATTCTGGAATAATTTCCATAAATATACAAATGTAAACTTTGTTAAATTGTATGTCTATCCAAAACCTATTTTTTTCTGTTTTTGGATAGTGTTGAAGGATTAGAACTCCTGCTGGAATTCTACTGCTATCCAGGGCTCCGTTAGACACCATAAGCAGTGACTACCATTTTTTTAGCAACTGAAAAATTGTTTTCTTTGTGCCACATTCCCACCACAACAGAGGTGCAATGTGTGTGCAATAACGATGTTATGCCTGATGAAGGGACCCTGTGCGGCCCCCGAAACATCGCTTTGGACAAGATAAGTCTATGCTAATAAAACAGACCACATTTTGAACATTTAACCACTGGTGTGCTGGTGACCAACTCTTTTTGCTTCAAGTACGGCGGTACCATCTGCAGTCACTGCAGCACCGACCCTCCCGGGACATACCAGTCAGGGAACTTTGTTGATATGCAAATAAAATGGAGACATGCTGCATTTTTTTTGCAGCACACTTTGTTTCATCAACATAAACAGTGTGATGCACTGGGACAGCACATCGTCCTACCCACCCTGCCGGACCTGTCACAACACACTTAGTGCCCATTCACACCATATGTGTTGGGACTGCACTGGCTGTTTTTTTCCATTGCAGCCCCAAACACAAGGCAAAGCAATTTGCCTTGTTGAATATGTGCTGAGTTCACACCACTGCAACGTTTGGGTGCTGAGGTGGTGTGCGGTGAAAAATGTAAGGCATGCAATATATTTTTTAAGCCCTGCGAGATGCGACGCAGTACATCACGCTGTGCTTGTAGAACTTAATAAAATATCCCTTTTTCAATAAAGTCACATTTCAATAAAGTTCTAAAAATAAAGCAGACATTGTGATGTGCCGGACATCACCAAGGCACCGCACACCAACCGTTGTGTGTTTTTCTCAGCTGCTGGTGTGAATAGTGTGACCCTGAGGTTTTCTAATGTGAGCTAGTGTGAACAAGTCCTTATTGTCAAGTTTCACAAGCTAGGAAGTCAGGGAAAATCTGCAATATGAACACAGCAATTAAAACTGCCAGGGGTTCTAGACTTCTCAGATCAGCAAGGCCCCATTCACACCTGAGTGTTTGTACCTCGAATGGCTAAAGTCAGGTATACACGTGTCTAAATAGAACAGATTCCTCCATCAATGCTTACAAGTAGGGTTGCACAGATACCAAGTACAGTACTTGGTACAAGTACGAATACATGTACCGATACTTTTGAGCTCCAAGACTAGACTAGAGAAAAGTTAAAAAATTAGGAGGCAGCTGTCATTTGTAAGGAGCACACGGAGCTCCTGGGATTTGTACATCTCTGTTTTATTGTACGATATTGTTGTTTTTATAAATATAAATAAAGGGATGCACAGATACCAGTTTTGCGAGTACGAGTACTGGTACTTGCCGAGTACTTACAAGTATGAGTACTGATACATTTTTGTTTATTGTCATGTGACAGTTTTTCTAACTCAATACAGACTAATGATTTCAGGACAGTGGTGGAGTGCCAGAGCCAGGTCCCAGCTGCAACCGCTGCAACCCGGGTAGTTCTCATGAAAATGCCAAGTATCCGTACTGGTACTCGAAAAGTATCTGTGCATCCCTACTTACAAGCATTGATGGACGAATCCCCCACTGTTTGCATTGTATTCTGGCAGCAGCCACCAGCTGCTGTCAGGATAGGTAAACGTGGCTAGCATCCATGTATCTGAGAATTTTATGACCTGCCCCTTCGACCTGCCCTTTTGAACGGAAGGGTGCTGACAGCGATACCCACTGTGTGAATTTCAGCCGGTTAATCAGGAACCGGCTGCAATTTATACGGTGTATAACCTACTTATATGCTACTAAGCTCAACAGGAGGCATCTCATTGTTTTCAGAGGACCCTGTTCACACCGGTGTGTTCTGTTGCCTTTGTAAAAATGCTTGTAGCTTGAAAAGGTACATGAGCTTCATATGGAGCAGAGTCAAGCACTTTGGCCCCAAAAGATTTAAGTGGGAGTGCCTGAAAAAATGTGCAAAAAAACAATTAAAATGTGTGTAATGCTCAATTTTAAGCATTTTGTTTGCCTAGTACGTAGCCTTGCATTGGCTAAAGATAAAAATAAAATATCAAACCTGAAAACGCATGTACAAACACCAGTACAAATGCTCAAAAAAGGGACAAAAAACACCCAAAGATGTGAACATGGAATAAAGGGTTCACAATTGCTGAGTATGTAGATCCCAATATGCAAATGCACCATATTATCATAACATCAATCAATTTCTCTCTGCATATCTTCCAACTATCCCTCATTTGGAACCAAATTTCTCTGTCATTCTTTCCTCCTCAGTTGTCTGTCTTTTTGGCCTGATGTACAGATATCTATGAAAATGTTCTATTTAACTACCAAAAGTGTTATTCTTTACTAAAACCTTCATCTTATCTCTTAACGATCATGTTTGCTATTTGGAAAATACAGTATAACTGAAAAGTAATGATGAAAAATAAAATTTTGTTTAACCAATCATTTGTGGCTTATAAATTCTTAATGGTCCACATAGCTAGGCAGAAGTATGTCCATTGCTTAAGTACATTGTGCTGGAAGGTGCCCCTCTTTATCATCAGTTGGGAGGTATGTCTCTACTAGTGTGTATTTCCTTTTAGTAAATTGGGTCTATTGCTATAT